TTTTTTTTTTTTTTTTTAACATTTTTAAAAATTTATTTCTGAGAGAGAGAGACAGTGTGAGCAGGGGAGGGTCATAGAGAGAGGGAGACACAGAATCTGAAGCAGGCTCCGGACTCTGAGCTAGCTGTCAGCACAGAGCCCAATGTGGGGCCTGATCCCATGAACCATGAGATCGTGACCTGAGCCAAAGTCAAACGCTTAACTGACTGAGCCACCCAGGCACCCCTTATGTGTTTCTCTTCGAATGTTCTTATAAACGTTTTCATTCAAGTCTTAGATTACCCTGTCTTCAGGCTCTGGTCTTCTGGTATTGTTTTATAGTGATTTGCAGAGAAGTTTTTTTGCAGGAGGAAAATGGGAGTAACTAGGAAGGCTTGGGAGAATATTAGTTAAATCAGGTAGTCTTAAACTGAAGTGCCCACAGGGGCCAGAGACGAACATAAAACCAGTGGCCTAGGTGGGAATGATTCAGCTGGGGAGGAAAGTGGGGCTTGTGGTGACATGGAGAGCATGTTTTTTGCCCAAAGAAGATGTCTTTCCAGACATCTTAGAGTAAGATGATAGCATATGTGTGCGTAATTGGATACAGCTTCTGGTAGATGGGATTTTTAAAGCCCCTCCCCTTCTGGAAGCAGACCGCCCCTCTTTTCCCCTCTTTGCCTGGCACAGGTCCTCTGCCCCACTGCCATTCCAAGGGACACAAAGGGTCCCATTTTATAACTTGCAAAAAGATGTTATTCACTGTCAATATTTGTATTTTATTTTATTTTATTTTATTTTATTTTATTTTATTTTATTTTATTTTATTTTATATATAGAGAGAGAGCATGAGCAGGGAAGAGGGGCAAAGGAAGAGAGAGAGAGAAAATCTCAAGCAGGCTCCATGGTCAACATTTTTAAGAAAGGTACAAAAGCAGTTCCATAGAGGAAGGATAGACTTTTCAACAAATGGTGCTGGAACAGGTGGATATTCATAAACAGAAAACAGTGAACTTCGACCTTAACCTTGCATCTTACACAAAAGCTAATGTAAAATGGATTTGTGGACTTAAATGTAAAGCATAAAACAAGAAATTTTTTTCAGGAAAAAAAATAGGAGATAGGGCAGGGCAAAGAGTTCTTAAACTTGATATCACATATATGATCATAAAAGTAAAAGTTGATAAGTTAAACCTCAACAAAAATAGGTTGTTTAGCTCTGTGAAATACCCTATTAAAGAGGTTGAAATTACAAACTACAGGCTTGGAAAAATATCTTCAAACCACATATCAGACAAAGAACTTTATATCCAGAATATATAAACAACTTTCAAAACTCAACAGTTGAAAACAAAAAAGAATCCAATTAGAAAATAGACAAAAGACATGATAATGCATTCCACTGAAAGGCTCTGCAAATAAAAAAATACAAATGAAAAGATTTTCATATTAACCACTAGGGAAGTGCAAATCAAAACCGCAACATTCCTATTACAATGACTAGAATAAGAAATGGTAATGACAGCAAATGCTGATCAGGAGAAACTAGATCAATCACACAGTGCTGGTGGGAATGTAAAATGGTACAGCCACTCTCGAAAAAAGTTTGGCAATTTCTTGTAAAACTAAACCTATAACCATCATATAACCTAGCAGTTGCACACACTTGGGCATTTGTCCCAGAAAAACTAAAACTTGGGGTGTCTGCCTGGCTCACTTAGTGGAGTGTGTGACTCTTGATCTCACGGTCGTGAGTTTGAACCCCACATTGGATGTGGAGCCTACTTAAAATTAAAAAAAAAAAAAGAAAAAGAAAAACTCCCATCCATGCAGAAATCTATACATGATTGTTCATAGCAGCTTTATTTGTAATAGTTCCCAGTTGGAAACAATTCATATTCTTTCAGAAGCTGAATAATTAAGGTGAATTGATACCTTGGAATATTACTCAGCAATAAAAGGGAATGAACTATTGATACATGCAACAACTTCAGTGAATCTCCAGGGAATCACGCTGCATGAAAGAAACCAATCCCCAGAGATCACATACTACATAATCCTGTTTATATAAAATTCCTGAAGTGACAAAATTATGGAAATGGAGAACAGATTAGTAGTTGTCAGGACGGTTTTATGGGGAAGGAAGTAGTTGTAGCAACACTGAGGGATCCATGCAATAATGGATCCAGAATGTGGATCTGTATCCTCTATCCAGAATGTGTAAAGAACTCTGATAATAATAAAAAAAAAAACCACACACCTAATTAAGAAAAGAACAAAGAACCTAAACAGACATTTCTCCAAAGAAGATATACAAATGGCCAATAAGCACATGAAAACATGCTCAATGTTGTTAGTCATTAAGGAAATGCAAATCAAAACCACAATGAGATACTACTTCATACCCATTAGGATGGCTATAATCAAGAAGACAGTAAGTGTTGGCAAGGATGTGATAAAATTAGAATACTCCTATGTATTGGAATACTCACATATTGCTGTTGAGAATGTAAAAGGACATGGATGTTTTGAAAATAGTTTGGCAGTTTCTCAAAAAAGTCAAACATAGAATTACCATATGACCTAACTATTCCACTTCTAGGTATATTCATAAAAGAACTGAAACCATGTCCACACAAAAACTTCTATGAAGATCTTCATAGCAGCATTATTTATAAGAACCAAACAATGGAAAAAAACCAAATGTCCTTGAATTGATGAATGGATGAACAAAAATGCTGTATCCATACAATGGAATATTATCAAGTCATGGAAAGGAAGAATGAAGTAGTAGTGCATGTTACAATATGGATGAATGTTGAAAACATTATGCTACGTGAAGAAGCCAGACACAAAGGCCACATACTTTATGATTGCATTTATATAAGTCATCTAAACTAAGCAAATCCTTAGAGACATCAAGTAGATTAGTTGTTGTCAGAGAATAGAGTAAGGAAGGAATGGGGAGTGACTGCTAATGGCTATGGGTTTTTGGGGAGGGAGGTGATAAAAATGTTCTGAAATTAGTGATGGTTGCAGATCTCTTGGATATATGAAAAACCATTGACATTGGGGCGCCAGGGTGGCTTAGTCGGTTAAGCGTCCGACTTTCGCTTAGGTCATGATCTCGCGGTTCGTGGGTTTGAGCCCCGCGTCGGGCTCTGTGCTGACTGCCAGCTCAGAGCCTGGAGCCTGTTTCAGAGTGTGTGACTCCTTCTCTCTCTGACCCTCCCCTGCTCACGCTGTCTCTCTCCCTCTCTCTCTCCTAGAAATAAATAAAAACATAAAAAATAAATAAATAAAAAACCATTGAATTGTATTAAATCTTATAGTATGTAAAATACGTCTCAGTAAAACTGTTGAAAGAGACATTTATTTAATGTTGATGGTGTATACAATTTTTCCTATTACAATGGTATATGGAATTGACTTGTACAAGTGTGTTTATGCCCTAACTTTCTGGATATTTCTATAAGCTATAGAGTGAGAGGTGGGTTTATTAAAGTTTTGATCATGATAGCTAGTGACCAATAGTAGAGTGGCATTTATTTAGGATGCTCGGATATTTTGAATGTCTGTAAAAGTTGAAATTTCATGGTTGGAGCCTGTCAAGGTAGTGTTTATGGTCCTATGGAGAAGGAAGTAGATAGTTCAGGTGCCCTTATGGACAGAGGGGAGAATGTGAGAGACTAGGGGAGTGAAGAGATGGAGGAGGGAATGTAAGCAGGCCCCTAGAAGCTTCCTCCCAGTTTTCTCCCAGTACATCTCCTCCTTAGCTTTGTAGAGAACCTTAACTCTTGGGATGAACTTGACCGATTTCTGTTACAATTTTCCCTATAGGTGAAGGCATCCTCATCTCCTCAGAGGCTTCAGAACTTCTGGATTTCATTGACAACCAGGGTCAGGTGCATGTGATCCAGAAATACCTTGAGCACCCTCTGCTTCTGGAACCAGGTCACCGCAAGTTTGACATTCGGTAATGCATCGGTGTCTGGAGCTTTTGTTACTGATCTGAAAAAAATGCAGTAGTGTGTGATGAAGAGGGTAACATGGAATGTGAAGAAGTATTTGACCATGTTTAATAAGCAGCCAAAATTGAGTACAGCTGAATAGAACTGAGGATCTGTACCTAAACTTTCTTTTTCCTTTAGTATTTCTCTTTTCTTTATAGAAAACATTACTAAAATTATCAAAATGACCTGTGGCTCCAAAGAAGACAGTCTAAATGTATGGGGCTTGCTTATGGAAGAAGCTATGAGATGTACATAAAACTCATAATTAAGACACAATAAATAATATGACCTTGCTTCATTATTTGTGTCCTACTTTTTAAGAATTTCAGGGGCGCCTGGGTGGCTCAGTTGGTTAAGCATTCGACTTTGGCTCAAGTCATTATCTCATGGTTCATGGGTTCGAGCCCCGTGTCAGGTTCTGTGCTGACAGCTAACTCAGAGCCTGGAGCCTGTTTCAGATTCTGTGTCTCCCTCTCTCTTTGACCCTCTCCTGCTCATGCTGTCTCTCTCTCTCTCTCTCTCAGAAATAAATAAAATATTTTTTTTAAAAAAAGAATTTCATAAGTACACTTCAGGTTTTTGGATTTTAACTTTCTGAGCAATGGGCCTGGCATAGAGTAAAAGGTTGTATCATACTTTCTAAAGCTAAATAGCCCTCTCCCCAGCCTTCCTGTGGCCTTGCTGACATTTCCTCATTGAGGACTCTTTGTCTTCTTAGTAATGACTTGCTGCTTCTTCAACACCAATCCTGTGTCAGAGCAGCTTGAGGATGAACAGTCTTCCTCTTAAGGTTATTTATAGAGCAAACATGGCAAATAGAAGTCTCATGGATAAACCCTAGACCCACCCTATCTGGATCTCTTTAAAATGCTGTATCTTTTGAACTGGTCAAAGTGGTCTTTTTGTCATTTATGGCAAAATGTTTTATTTGCCTCCTTACATTCATAATCTGCTGTTTTGGCTAAGGGTTATGCCTTGCCTCATGTAATTTTAGAATCTACCTCCTTCCTCTACATCCCTCCAGAAAAGTTAAGGAATGGGAATGATATATATACTGTGGTGAAACTTTGGATGACTTGAGTAAAACTTTTTATTGACTTGCAGAAGCTGGGTCCTGGTGGATCATCAGTATAATATCTACCTCTACAAAGAGGGTGTGCTTCGGACTGCTTCAGAACCATATCATGTTGATAATTTCCAAGACAAAACCTGCCATTTGACTAATCACTGCATTCAGAAGGAGTACTCAAAGAACTATGGAAAGTACGAAGAAGGGAATGAAATGTTCTTTGAGGAGTTCAATAAGTACCTAATAAGTGCTTTGAACATTACATTGGAGAGTAGTATCTTGCTACAAATTAAACATATAATAAGGTAACTTAATTGTATCTTTTTTGGTTGTGTGTCTTGAAGAAGCTTTGGAAAGCTTGTGCCTTTCAAGGAATTATTCCATTTAAGCTATCTAATTTAAGGACAGAAGTTATTTGTAATATTCCTTTATTATTCTTTCAGTATCTGTAGGAACTGTAATGATGTCACTGCTTGTACACTTTATATTGGTATGTTCTATTTTACTTGGACAGATTGGCTAGAGGTCTATCAGTGTTATCTTTTTAAAAAGTCACCTTTTGGCTTTATTGATTTTCTCTATTGTTTTATTTTTTATTTCTTTGATTTATGCTCCTTATTATTTCCTTCCTTCTGTTTTTTTTTTCCTTTTTTTGAGGGGGTTTAATTTGTTTTCTAGTTTCCAGAAGGCAAAAGGTTAGATCATTGATTTGAGAGATTTCCTTTTTAAATGCATTAATGCATTTAGAGTTTCCCTCTAAATACTTATTAACTACACCCCCCAGGTTTTGCTATGTTGTGTTTTCATTTTCATTTTATTAAAGTGTTTTCTAGTTTTCCTTGTGATTCCACCTTTGACTTATGTTATTTAGAAATTTTTCTTAACTTCCAAATATTTGGGGATTTTTCAGATATTTTTCTGTTACTGATTTTTATTTTAAAACCATTATGGTCATAGAACTTTACAATTTGTTAAAGTTTGTGTCATGGCCCAGAATATGATCCAGTTTTAGTGAATGTTCCATGTGTACCAAAAATAACATTTTTTCTGCTATAGTTGGGCTGAGTGTTCTATAAATGTGAATTAGGTGAAGGTGGTTAGTAGTGTTGTTCAAGTCTTTTTTGTTCTTGCTGAATTTCTGTTCTACTTATTCCATTCATGATTGAAAGAGAAAACATTGACGTCTCCAAGTATAATTATGGATTTATTTATGTCTCCTTTAGTTTATCAATTTTGCTTCATATATTTTGAAGATCTGTTTCAGGTACATGTACATGTAGAATTGTTACCCATTTTTTGGCAACTGACCACTTTATCCTTATATAATTTGTCTTTATCTCTGGTAATATTTCTTATTTTGAAGTTAATTTTGTCTGATAATTAATATAGCCACTCCAGCTTTTTTTGATTAGTGATATGTCTCCATCCCTTTACTTCTATCCTGTTCTATTCCATTCTGTATTTAAAGTGGGCTCCTGGTATACAGTGTATGGTTAGGTTTTGTTTTTGTTTTATTTAACAAGACAGCCAATATGGTAATCTCTACCTTTCTAATTGGTGTGTTTTTATCATTTTAATTTAATTATTATTATTTTGGTTGGATTTTTATGTACTATTTTATTATTTGCTATCTGTCTCCTTTTGGTTTTGTTTTTCATTTTCCCATTGCCTCCCTTAAAAAAAATTATTTGAATTTACTGTGGTGCCTGGGTGGCTCAGTTGATTGGGCATCAGACTTCAGCTTAGGTCATGATCTTGCAGTTCGTGAGTTCAAACCTTCTGTCAGGCTCTGTGTTGACAGCTCAGAGCGTGAAGCCTGCTTCAGGTTCTCTGTGTCCCTGTCTCTCCCCATCTCTCAAAACTGAATAAATGTCAAAAAAAATTTCAAGTAAAAATTATTTTATTTTGCTTAGAGTTCTATTTTAATTTATCTGTTGAGTATTTGGCTATCTTTCTCTCTCCCTCTCTCTTAGTGGTTACTCTAGGGATTATGATTTATATATCTAATATTTATTTCACAGCCTTCTTAGAGTTAATAATTTATCACTTCAAATAAAATGCAGAAAACTTATAACCTTATAGTTCACTTAACTGTCCTCCTCCATAGTTGTTATATGTAAGACAGCTATATGCATTGAAATCTCTAGCACATGATGTTATAATTTTTATCAGTACTCATATATATTTTATATGTATGACAGATTATCAGGTTGGATTTTTTTTTTATACAAGACCAAATTGTATGCTGTCTACAAGAAACCCATTTTAAATATAAAAAGAGGAAAATGCTCTTTTAAATTTACTCAGATATTTGCCTTTTTAAGTTCTCTTCCTTCAGTCCTGAGGTTCGAAGTTTATTTCTGGTAGTATTTCTCTTCAGACTTTAGCATTACTTTTAGAGCAGTTCTGTAGGTAATAACTTCTTTTAATTCTTCTGTTACTTTTCTGAGAATGTCTCACCTTATTTCTGAAGGGTATTTTTACTGTTGATACACAAACGTAATGTCAAGCAAAAATTACAAAAAATATAAACTGTATACTAGATGCATACAGATTGATTCTGTTCATATAATGTGAAAAACAAGCAAAACTGAAGTTATTTAGAGGAATGTGCATGTGTGGTTAAAATAGAGAACTGAAGGAATGGAAAACATAAAATTCAAAATAGTGGTTATCCCTGAAGGAGAAGCAGGAGAAACCCAAGAAAGGAGCCTAAAGGAATTGGATTGTAGGTACATGGTGGTCATTAATGTATATATATTTTAAATATTTTAAACTCACAAGACATCATCATTATCATCATCATTATTATTATAGAGTTCATAGTCATTTAGATTTTCCTATACATTGTAGCCTTTTATGTTGCTGCTTTTTCTTTTATGCATTTTCTTTTGTCTGGGATCAGTTTCCTAATTCTTAACTCACTTTTATTCCTTTTTAAGTAAAGTCTGCTGCTGATGAATCATTTTGGTTTTCATTTATCTAATAATAATTTATCTACATTCTATTTTTTAAGATTTTTTTAATGTTTATTTTTGAGAGAGAGAGAGAGAGAGAGAGAGAGAGAGACATCGCGTGAGTGGGGGAGAGGCAGAGAGAGGCGGACATAGAATTCAAAACATGGTCCAGGCTTTGAGCTTTCAGCACAGAGCCCAGAGCGGGGCTCAGACTGATGAACCATGAGATCATGACCTGAGCTGAAGTTGGACACTTCACTGACTGAGCCACCCAGGTGCCCCTATTTTTTCTTTATTTTTTTAAAGACATGGAAAGATTTAAAAAAAAATTTTTTTTAATGTTTATTTATTTTGAGAAGGAGGGAGGGAGAGCGAATGGGGAGGCGCAGAGAAACAGAATCCCAAATAGGTTCTGAGCCGTCAGCGCAGAGCCTGATGCGGGGCTCAAACCCATGAACCTTATGGTCATGACTTGAGCTGAAATCGAGTCAGACACTCAACCGACCAAGCCACCCAGGCGCCCCAAGACATGGAAAGATTTTTTTTAAAGACGTGCTGTGGAAACAGATTTCTAGATCAGCAAAATCTTTTTTTTTTTTTTTAAAGCACTTTGAAGTTGGCTTTCCATTGTCTTCCGGCTTACATCTCTTCCTTTGAGATGTCAGCAACAATCTTAGTTTGCCCTTACTGTGTCTTTTCTCTGTTTTGAAGCTTTATTTTCATTGCTTTTTATAAATGTTACTATAGGTTGTGTACACTTTTCTTTGTACTTCTTGCTGCATAGGTGTCAGAGTGCTTCTTGAATCTGTGGCTGCAGGCCTTTTATTTGTTGTGGAATTTTCGTGACCACCATCTTTTCCCTTTTGGCTTTCGTCCCATTCTTCTTTCCTCTATAATTACACGGGTACCAGTCCTTTTCACTATCTCACGTTTCTCCCATGGTTTTTGTGTGTCATTTGATCTCTTCCTTTAGCAATTAAAACTGGTTTAAAAAGAAAAATGCCAATAAAATTGTTATTAAACTCATCTCTTGAGTTCTTGATTTAGGGATTGTACTTTTCGGTTCTAGAATTTCCATTTGACTCTTTTTAGATTATAGTCTTGTGAAATTTCCCACTTGTCTCATATTGTCTTGAATATGTTAACAGTAATTCTTCAACATCTTCATTTGATTAGTCTGAAATCTGAATTACCTATAGTAGAGGTTAGCAAACTATGTCCTATGGGCCAAATCCAACGTAAAGCTTGTTTTCATACAGGCCATAAGTTAAAAAAGGTTTTTATGTTTTTTTAAAGATGTTTTAGAAATAGAAGAATATGTAACAGAGACTGTATGTAGCCTTCAAAACCTAAAATAGTTACTGTCTAGTCCTTTGTAGAAAAAGTTTGCTAACCCCTGACTTATAGGTCTTGCTTCTGTTGTCTCTTTTTTCTCTTGGTCCTGTTTCTTAATATGCCTATTTGGTGTTATTACTCGTTTATTATAGTTTACTAAATCCAGTAGAGATTTTTTTTAAATAGTTTATTGTCAAGTTGGTTTCCATATAACACCCAGTGCTCATCCCCACAAGTGCCCTCCTCCATGCCCATCACCCCCCTTCCCTGCCCTCCCACCCCCATCTGCCCTCAGTTTGTTCTCAGCATTCAAGAGTCTCTCATAGTTTGCCTCCCTCCCTCTTCCCCACTATTTTTCCCCTTCTTCTCTCCCATAGTCCTCTGTTAAGTTCCTCCTAATCCTCCTATACGTGCAAACATATGGTAGCTGTCCTTCTCTGCCTGACTTATTTCGCTCAGCATAACACCCTCAAGTTCCATCCACGTTGCTACACATGGCCAGATTTCATTCTTTCTCATTGCCATATAGTATTCCATCGTATAGATAAACCACATCTACTTGATCCATTCGTCAGTTGATGGACACTTAGGCTCTTTCCATGTTGTGGTCCAATAGAGATTTTTTTTTTAAGTCGAGGTATAACATGCATATGGTAAAGTCCATAAATCTTAAGTGTACACTGTAGTGAACTTTTAATTATGCGTATACTCAGATATTTATAACACAAACCAGGATATAAAATATTTACTTTCTTCAACTTCCTCAAAATATATACTTCATGCCACAGATAGCTACTCTTCTGACTTTTATCACCACCCTTTTGCTTACTCTTCCACTTTATTTTATGTAAATGGAATTATACTGTTTTCTGTTCAACTTTTTTCACTATTATATCTACGGGTTTCATCTATAGTGTTGCATATAGGAGTGATTTACCTTTTTTACTGCTATGTAATATTCCATTGTATGATTATTACATGGTTTATCCCTTCTATAGTTGATGGACATCTTGGTCTTTATCTTTTATATTTTAGACCTGTAATCTACCTGAATTGTTATATGTCAAGTGTCATGTTTTTCTGTGGGGTATCCCGTTGACTCAGGACTATTTGTGCCTAAGACTGGCCTTTCCCTACTGCACTGTGGTGAGCCTTTGTTATAAATCAGGTGATCCTTTATGTGAGCGATATCCATTCTGTTCTGTTGATATATTATCTGCCCTATCATTACCACTCTGGCAGAATGATTAGAGTCCCATTTCTTCAGTGATTGTAGGTGCTTAGAATTCTGACACAAGAGAGGTCAAGTATGCTGAAGAAAGATTTCCTATTTTAGGCAAAAGATTTATTGGATATTTGTTACACCACCACCACCATCACCATCACCCCTCCCGCATTGTTCCATACACTTCAGAGAGTGCTGCTACTTTGATACTATAAAAGCTCCTAACAGCTCTCATATGTGTGGATGGGTTTTTTTTCCCCAGCTAGCTTCCCCCTAACTTCCCACTCCTGCTGAAAAAAGATGTATAAAGCCTCTACTGATTAAAAAAAAAAAAAAAAAAATTTGTTAAAGTGAATTATTAATCTTGAGCTTCCAGCAAATTAAAAAAAAAAATATTTAATTTTGATTTGCTTCTGGCTCTCAGTTTTTCCTTTATCTGTTTGAGCATGTTTCTTTCACTTTGTTGGGGTTCTTTCTTTTCTTTCTCTTTCTTTCTATCATGAACATCTACTAAATTTAAAAGTTTTCCTAATTATAATATCGGAAAGGGTATTTTAATTAAAACAAAAGTTAGGGGTACCTGGGTGGTTCAGTCAGGTAAGCGTCTGCGTTTGGCTCAGGTCATGATCTCATGGTTTGTAAATTCAGGTCCCACAAAGGACTCTCTGCTGTCAGTGCAGAGCCCACTTTGGAGCTCCTGTCTCCTCACTCTTGCCCTGCCCCCACTCATGCACATGCAAGTGCGTGCACTTGTGCTCGTCTCTCTTTCAAAAATAAACATTTGGGGCACCTGGGTGGCTCAGTTGATTAAGCATCCAACTTTGGCTCAGGTCATGATCTCGTGGTTCGTGAGTTCAAGCCCTGCGTCAGACTCTGTGCTGACAGCTCAGAGCCTGGAGCCTGCTTCAGATTCTGTGTCCTGCTTTCTCTCTGTACCTCGCTGGCTCACACTCTTTCTCTCTGTCTCCCAAAAATGAATAAAAATGTTTTTAAAACATTTGTAATAAAATAAGGGGTGCCTGGGTTGCTCAGTCAGTCGATAGTCCAACTCTTGGTCTCAGCCTAGGTCATGATCTCATGGTTCAGGGATCGGGCCCCATCTTGACCTGTGGTAACAGCACAAAGCCTGCTTAAAATTCTCTTTCTCCCCCTCTCTCTCTGTCCCTCCTCTGCTTGCTCACTATCTATCTATCTCTCTCTCTGTGTCTGAAAAAATAAACTTAAAAAAATAAACAAAAAATAAAAATAAAACAAAACGTCATGTGTAAAAACTGTTTTAAAAAGTTAAGGGTATTCTTTCATAGTAGAGATAAAGATATAGGGGAAAAATGTGATATGTGCCTTACCAGTGCAGGTTAAAAATGAATGAGAGAAGAAAATTTTATTCCAGTTGTTTGTTAAATGGCTAACTGCTCCAAATTATTTTTAAAGGTTTAAATATATGCATAGAGATATTTTCCTTTTCAGGACAAGAAAAAGTAAGTTGACTCTTGGAGAGGGGCAGAGGTGGAGGGAAGTCGGGGGAGCAAGACCCCGCCTCCAAGTTCACAGAGGTCCCAGTTTTTGTTTTTGTTTTTCTTTTTTAGTTATTATTTTTTAGAGGTCCTAGTTCGGTTTTTTTTTTTTTTTAGTGTTTTATTTATTTATGAGAGAGTGACAGCGTGAGCAGGGGAGGGTCGGAGAGAAAGGGAGATACAGATCTGAAACAGGCCTCCAGGCTCTGAGTAGCCGTCAGTACAGAGCCCAGTGTGGGGCTTGAACACATGAACTGTTAGATCATGACCTGAGCCAAAGTTGGACGCTTAACCTACGGAGCCACCCAGGTGCCCCAAGAGCTCCCAGTTCTTTAAAGTCATGAGTCAAAACCCACCTTTACAAATATATTGTGGAGTCAGTCACATGGAAGCCAATTCTTTTATTTTTTCTTATAAACATACAGTTGTGTAGGAGGAAAGCTATCCTTGGTACTCTTAGAGTTGTCATAACATAGTTTATTACTAGAATAGATATTTTGCCCCAGCATTCAGTTGAGGGAAAAATCAGGGAAGAGCTTCATAAAACAGAAATGGCATAGGTTTTCTGGGATGGTTATTCTAGAAAACAGTGACTTCTTATTCGTAGGTTCTTATGTGATTATTTCATTGAACCATCCCATCACTAGGACTGGGTATTATTTTTACCCCTTCCTTTATGGATAAAGAAATCAAAGCGTTGCCCAGAGAGGTTAAAAAAACGTGTCTGAGATTTTGGCCTTTGCTCCTTGACCTTAGATCTCGTGTACTTCCTCATGTTTCTAAGATTGACTTTCAACTTTTTTGTGTTTCCAGTTTTTCTGTGTTTTTTCCCCAATTTTTTAGCAGTAGTTAGGGTTAATAATAATTCTTTTTTGTATTTCAATATTTAAATCTTTTCATTAGTAATAATTTGACATTAGAACTGTAGCTAGTGAAAGAAATGAATGAGGCCAACTTCACTGCAAATTCTACTCTTCACCAAATGGTAGGCCATTTCTTTTATATGGCAAAAATGCATGGGGGTGTTTTATTTATTACAAACAAATATGGCAGCAGCTCTCCTATTGGAGGAATCTACCTATCTAGGGGCCATGGTGATTCAGCGCTGTGGTGGGAAAGCAGCCCCTACTTGTAAGAACGTGACTACAGAGTTTTCTAACAAATAGCTTGATAAGTATCATTGTCTTGAATAATCTGTTGGTAATAAATTTGAAAGAGAGAATTGAGGTACCTGACTGTCTCAGTCAGTGGAGTGTGCAACTCTTGATCTCTGGGTTGTGAGTTCGAGCTGGGTGTTGGGTGTAGAGATTACTGAAAAATAAAATCTCAGGGTGCCTGGGTGGTTCAGTTGGTTAAGCATCCGACTTCAGCTCAGGTCAGCTGCTCCTGAGTTCGAGCTCCGCGTTGGGCTCTGTGTTGACAGCTCAGAACCTAGAGCCTGCTTCAGATTCTGTGTCTCCCTCTTTCCTTCTGCCCCAGCCCTGCTTGCACTCTGTGTCTCTTTCTCTCTCAAAAATAAATAAAGCATTTAAAAAAATTTTTTAAGTAAGAAAAGAATTAAGTCAAAGTGGATTTTTATCAGCACTTTTGATATAAAATCATCCAAGCATGTCTTCTGTGTTCCTTCTCCCTCAACCAGCCCATTCTCAGTGAGCTCTCCCCCTTTGCCCCACAGAAGCTGCCTCATGAGTGTGGAGCCCGCCATCAGCACCAGGCACCTCCCTTACCAGAGCTTCCAGCTCTTTGGCTTTGACTTCATGGTGGACGAGGAGCTGAAGGTCTGGCTCATTGAGGTCAACGGCGCCCCGGCTTGTGCCCAGTAAGCCTGAACACCACTGTGCTTTAACAAATGGAAAGTTGGTTCCACAGTTGGAATGGCCTATCTTGGCAAGGCAGTGAGCTCCCATTACCAAAGTGTTCAAGTGCAGACTATGTAACTGCTGTCAGGAAGGATATCCTGTGGCAGGACACTGGTTGGCAGGGGTCGGGGGCCTTTGCTGAGTCAGTCCTTCCTGATTCTCCCATGTGTGTTGAGCTGTAGTCTGTGCTCAGGTGGGTGGTAGTTGCTATGAATGTTTCAACAAAGCCAAAAGCTGCCGGAGGAGACCCTCTTATGTGACAAGTTCAGGGAGCAGGTCCTGTGAATGGGCGGGGACAGTGATGACCAGGAAATCAAGGGGCTCCCTGGGCAGGAAGTGTTCTGAGAAGGCATTATAGGCACAGTGGAGCTAGAAATGGGATGTCAGAGAAGAGTGTCACATGCGTCAAGGGGAGGAGGGGAAAGCCTTCAGAAGGGGGACATAGCATCCAGTGGGACCATGCCCTGTGTCAGGTGCTATGGGAGTTGCCCAGATGAACAGAATATGCCCTCGGAAGCATGATGGAAGCCTTAGATGTAAAGGTCCAGAAGTCAGCTGGACCTGATCTCATATGCTGCTGGTTCTTCTAAAGATTCACTTTCATCAGGTCAAGACCCCTTCGTGGTTCACCATGTCCATGTCTTGGAGGAATTGAGGTGATCTTCCTCCACAGGTTTAGGAGAAAGTCCTATACCTACAAGGGACAGTATTAACACACAAGTAGCTCTTTCATTAGGAGCCAGGACACTCGTTCAGTGGCTGTGACATGGCGGGTGTGATTCGTCTCGTTTGGCCCTCCCTTCAGCTAACCAGTACTTGTTAGTACCCTCAACCTGCCAGGCCCCATACTGGGCCCTGAGTCACAGTCATGAGACTGTGGCCCTGCCCTTAAAGAGATTGCGGGCATGACAGAGGACCAGACAAATATAGATTACAAACGGGGACCCACTTTATCCTTGGTAAAGGATATGAAAGGTAGTAGCACTGAGCTGCTGTTGAGGGGTGGTGTTTGGAACTGAGTCAGAAGGAGGAAGGAGAGGAAAGCAGACTGAAGCAAGGAGGAGAGCAGGCAGGCTCACATCCTCTCTTCACCAGATCCACCTCAGCGTGCCCGGTTTCCCCTGTCCTTCTGGGAAAGGTTCTGTCCTCCCTAGTGCTCCATGCCCTATCCCCACTTCTGTCCCATGTCCCCTTGCCTTCCTCATTCAGTGTCACCCTTTCTCCCTCCTCAGGGTGCAGATTCCCACAGCTGTCAGAAAAGATCCCTCCCCTGAGGCCACATCCTGCTTCAGAGACTCCTCCCCATTGGTGTCAGAGCCACACTTTGAGAAAGCAGCATCCGCTCAGGCTGTTTCCTCTTCCTCTGTCCTCTGTGGTCCATTCTGGGCTGGATGCTGTCCCCTCCACCCCATAGAAACTGTTCTGAGGCCCCCAGTCACATCCACATCTCCAAGTCCGGCAGCCCCTTCCTGTCCGAACTTCCCTGAGCCGCCCGGCTATGTTTGAGGCAACTGCTCACTTACCCCTTGCCAAGACACTCTTCTGTTGTAGCTTCAAGCACACTCTGCACCGGGAAGGTTTGCCTGAGGAGGTGTGGGCGAGATGGGCCTCGTGTTCCTCATCAGCCGACCCCAGTGGGTGGCTCAGCCCTGGTGTTTGTCTTCTCTCTCTGTTATGCTTTCTCTGAACATGACCTTATTCAACTTCATACTTTTAAAACCACCAAACTGCGTCACAGCCCAGAGTTCCAGACCAGTGTCTATACCGCCTGCCCGGCGTCCTGCAAGGATGCCTGTGGATGTCTGAGAGGCACCCCCTGCCCCAGGCTTGCCCATCCCCGCGAATGCCCACCTGCCCTCTGCGCAGAATCTAAGCTGGAATCCTGACCTAGATTCAGCCTCCCTCTCTCCATTTCCCTCAGATTCTGGCCATTGAGGCTTGTCAGCTCAGCCTCCGGCCTTGGCAGTCGCCTGCCATCCACCCCCACTGCCCGCACTCTCCTACAGGTCGGCCTCCATCAGTGTGGAAGTTACAAAGAGCCTTCTGACGGGGACCTCCTCTTCTGTTCTTGCCCTAGTAAAACCCACTCTCTGTGCACGCTGCTCCTTCCACTGATTCTGTCCCTCTTCTCCCCGCCCCCCCATTGCTTTCTCCCCACTCCCTACTTCCCTCTTTTTCCCCTCCTTCTGTCTTTTTGGGTCTGTCTCTTCTCTTCTTCATCCTCTTTTCTAAAATTTTTTAATGTTTTAATTTATTTTGGGGAGAGAGAGACAGAGCATGAGCAGGGGAGGGACAGAGAGAGAGAGGGAGACATGGAATCTGAAGCAGACTCCAGGCTCTGAGCTGTCAGCATGGAGCTCGACGTAGGGCTCGAACTCGTGAACCCCATAATCATTACCTGAGCCGACGTCAGACTCTTAACTGAGCTACTCAGGCATCCCCCCCCCCCAATCCTCTTTTCTATCCTGTCACCCCCTGTCTGTCTGACTTCACTTGTTCTCCAGATGTCCAATTAGCTGTTACTGCTGGGGAGTCTTTCCTAGAATCTCCTCAGCCACCCAGAGGGGGGCAGTATACCCACTGCGGACAGGCCAGATGGCTCTTAGACTCCATTAAAATTGCCCGTCTTCCCTGCCAGTGAGTGCCGGAGCTGTTTGTCTGTTCACCTGAGACCTTCCAGAAATGTTTCTTAAGGGGGTGCTTTACCTTCATGCCATGCCGCCTGCAGCATTCGTGTACGTACAGTGGAAACCAGTTTTACAAATGTGGTCATGAGATGGAACGTCTAGGGCAGGTCCTGGTGATAAAAAGCGTTAAGACTTTTCACGTGCACTTTGATGAACATCCTCAATGCTGTTTTTAAAAACCCGTTTCAGGAAGCTTTATGCAGAACTGTGCCAGGGCATCGTGGACATAGCCATATCCAGTGTCTTCCCCCCACCAGACGTGGAGCCGCAGCACGTCCAGCCGGCCGCGTTCATCAAGCTGTGACCCAGGGAGGTGCCCCGAGCTCCTGCTCCAGGGGAAGGTGAAAGGTCACGATCGCTCGCTCGTTCCCAAGCCCGAACTGGAGAAAGCGAGGCGACCGGCCCAGCCGTGGTCGACGAGAGAACACGAGAAGAAAAGCCGGCTTCCCCAAAGAGTGGTTGCTCAGGGATTCCTAGGTGGTGCTCGCAGCACTGCTATCGAGACGTGGGAACTGTGGCAAACCCCTCTGAGGGGAGAGTAAAATATTCTTCTGAGGGGAAAAGACAGGGACTTGATTATTTGATGTTCTCATCCTTTAAAAAAAAATACCCCGTTTTTATCCTAAGGCAGCATTGTGAGCAGCGCCTCTTTTCCCTGGGGATCGAGACTATTGGACCTTTGGTCGGTGTCTTTCCACCTGCTGCAGCCTTAGTGCCTTAGCTCTATGCCCAGCTGCAACTCTTCTGTCTGGGACAGGGAGTGGTGGCTTTTGGGAGGTGGCCGAGGGGTTCCCGCCCATCCCTCTCCACAGCACCCTGCCCGCGAGAGCCTGGACGAGCAGGCACCAACAGTCCTCGGTGCCATGCTGGGTGCCACGTCGCAGCAGAGGGGGTTTTCCTCACCACGTTCCCGATGGCGTTTGGCCAGTCACCTGTCAGGGTTGCTGTGGGCTGGGCACCCAAATGGCAAATGCTGCTCTCAGTCTGCTCTGTGCATGTTTTAGAAACCAAACAGCAAGTTTGCCGCAACATAAGCATCAAATAAGCATGAGAGAGAAAAAACACGATGTCTTGCTTTACTTAGTAGTTGGGTATGGTGGATCTTCAAAGTATGATGATTCTCAATTATCTTTGTTTTAATCGGAATTCTCCACGCACTTTTGCAAAGTTCCCTATTGTTCTCTTTGTTGTTGTTGTTGTAACTTTTGTAAAAACCCCTCTAGGGGGCAACAGAGTAGAATTCCACATACACGCCGCCACCTCCACCAGGTGGCACTGCCCCAGACCCGGGCAGCTTTCCTCCATTTTCTTGCTCTCCAAGCACCTTCTGCAGGAGCTGGAAGAGGTTTTGTTCCGGGGAGGATTCTCCGCTTCTGCCTCTTGACATCAGGCTGAGGCTCTGAATGAGCGTCTGTTGGCCTGAATGGGGGAGTCTCCTAAAATGGGAAAGATGGGGTTTCAGAGCTCCACAGAGAATCTTATAAGTCAGCAGATGTGTCCTGTGAGGTGTAGTTTCTACTTCCTGGATCAAAAATTCTGTAGATTTTTCAGGAGGCTACATCACTACCGGTGGGAAGAGCAAGATGCTACTTGCGTTCAGGGTGGGCTGAATGAACAGGTGCTCCTTAGAGTGCTGGGAACCACAGCCGGCCTCCTGTCCAGTACATGCTGTGTTCTTCCTGCGTGTCTATATGTGCTCCGTCGTTCTTTCTACTTGTCACCAGACAACAGTTCTGCAGTCAGGGAGACGTTTTTAAAAAAGAAAAGAGAGCAACGCCTCCTCAAACATGATGAGATGTGGGAGCTTACAGCGAAGAAAGGAATAAGGAATATTTCATAGGTGCAGCAGTGGGTGTAGGATGTGATGGCTTTATGTTGGGGTGAAGGAGAGGGGCCCAACCGGTTTAGCTCTTCTGTGAATTTGGAATTACAGAATAAAAGGCCTGGTGGTTACCCAGGAGACAGATGATGAAGTGTGCATCCAGAGCAAAGTAAAACAGGCAGTGGGGAAAGGCAGTCTTGGAGACCCAGCACTGTTGGGTTAGTGTCTAGAAAGTGTAAGTGTCCGAGTTCTTGGGACGTCTCTGTGGACTGGTGATGGGGAAAAGCACGGAGGTTTGTGTAGTGCTATCACATGTGAACGCAGATTTGTAAGGATCTTTTGGGGCCCAAATTAAAGGGGCATTTGAGAGTTTTCCAGCTCTTAACAGTGACGGAGCTAAGAATTTAGATGTTGGAAGTCCATGGATCTTAATGGATTTTCTGAGAAATTCAAATCAGTAGCATATACGTGAGGGAAGTAAGGCTTTAAAAAGAAAGTTCTGCTTTATTCCTCACATGGTTTCAAATAACTATCTATTTTATGCATTTATTTTCAATCAGGTGGGATGGTTGCCTCAGAACTGTTCCATGCCCTTCCATGATGTCCTTGGCACAGATGGTTATGCCTCACTCTTCAGTTAGTCTTTATACGTGCGGCCCGAGGACATGTCGCCAGTTGCTGGGGGAAGAGGTGTTCTTTATTGGGAGATGGTGACTCCAGTCCTGGCACTGTCATTTGGCTGCACGGTGTGAGATGAACTCCTTAACCTCTCTGTGCCTTAGTTTCTTATCTCATGGACGAAATTGTTGCCTGACCCAGGGACTACCTCAAAGGCTTTTAGTGAGGACAGGTGAGATTAGGAAGACTCAAGAACCTGTGGTACCAAGGTTCTCAGTGCTGACTGTATGCTGGACTCACTTGGGAAGCTTTTAAAAAATGTTGGTGTCTACACCCTCCTCCTCTCTCCCACCCTGACCAATTAAATCCAAACGTCAGGCATCAGTATGTTCTGAGATGCCTTGAACCCACTGCTTGAGAAGGAAAGACAAACACGTCATTACCTAAAAAGAATCAGATAAGGCCTAGGACCTTTTTTTAAAAAGTTCGTTTTGGAAGGACAGTCATTTCTTTAAGAGTGACCATGTTGTCACTCAACATGTTGACATGTGTATTCATGATACAGGCAACTTCTGTCTAAGCACGTTCTTTTTGCTTCTTGTCCCAGTGTTTGTAAACACAAACGTGCTTTCGTTTCCTCAACACAGTTTGTGAGCCCTGACAACAAATGCAAACAGACGGGAATTTACAAATCTGCTAAATATGCGTTAAGGTTATGAATGATTGAGAGAAAAGCCCCTTCCGTCACACGTAAGTCCTGTGGGAATTGTAAACTCGATTTTACCCAGAACATTGAAGTGCCTCAGTGTCTGTACGGTACAATGGAGCAGGTGCCGGCATCCTTCCCAGCTGACTTGATGTTTCAAAGTAGTGCCTCAGGGTCGTTGCCACAGACAGAATGTCGGGCAGTGCCGGACACCTACAGGATCCACAGAATCCGCAAGCAGCAGCGAAGCTCCAGAGGGTGTTTTCATTGACAGCCAAGGTTGTGTCGAGCAGGTGTGGACCCAGCCCTGTTGTGGGCGTGCTGGGGACTCTGCTAGAGAGGACAGGGTGCCAGAGTTAGGTTTCCTGCGGCTGTGGCTGCTGCGGAGGAAACGCAGTGATACACTTGTCTCTGATCCTGAACACAGAATCTGTACCGAAGAGGAAATGACTTATGAAATAAGGTGATTTTATGAATGTTTAAAATGCCCAGAGCATTAAAGTAAAGTGATATTTCAAGTATTTTTGTGCCCTTTGGTTCTGTCGTCTTACTGTGGTTGTTGATTGTCCTAGGATAGCACTGGTTATTTGAATCCATGACTTTGTTACTCAGAGGTTAGCAGACCTTTCCTGGAAAGGGTCAGATTAGTAAATACTCTAGGCTTTGCAAACCAAACAGGTTCTTTGTTGCATATTCCTTTTTTTTTTTAACTAATTCTTAAAAAATTTAAAACAGGGGCATCTGGGTGGGTCAAATGGGTAAGCGTCTGATTCTTGATCTCAACTCAGGTCTTGATCTTAGGGTCATGAGTTCAAGCCCCGCATTACTTGAAAAAAAATTTTTTTTTAGTATATACAAACACAAGCCAGATGTGGCCATTGTTTGCTGACCCCAGCATGTTACTGACTACATAAGCCAACAGATTGTCCTTTGAAACTGTAATGAGCTCCCCTATGGTGAAGCGTTAGAACTATTTCTGCTGCCAAAATCCAGTCCATCTCTCACACGCCTTGTATATTGTCTGAATCATGATGCAGATTGTCAGATGAGCCCCATGGTAGTGCAAAAGGAGGAGGCAGAGGGGCTTTCTGAAAGGATTAGCCAGAAGGCTGTGAGGTCTTCACTAAGACTTCACTAAGGCCAGGTCTATGGTAAGTCTCGCATACCTCCGCCATCTAGTGTCATTTATGTAAACTATAGTTAACTTGCAACTTCATGCGTAATGAAGCTGAATGCTTTGGACTTCTTGCCCCTGTATGGCTGCGTTCACTCCATAAGCACACTTCTGGCACAGAGAAAGGGCCTTCCACAAATGCAAACCCGGGCTGCTGAAGCACTCCAAACAAGCTTCTGAAGTGGTAGACCACACACCCACCGGACACGGTGTAGATTGCATGGGCAGGGTGCAGGGACAAGCAGACATGGACCCAAGCAGGAAACTAGGATCCTGAGAGTGGACAGGTTCAAAGCTTTTGGAGGACTTCTCTTAGAGGCTGGTCCTCTAAGAGGCTGCTTGCTGTCAGTAGCTGCCCCTTCTCCTTAAAGAAGCTGGGGTTATCCCATTAGCCCCACAGCTTCAGTGATATTTTAAAGATGTCTCCCCCAAAGCATCACCAAAGGCAGAGGAAAATGAGCCCCTGTCCCATGGGATACTTGGTGGCCCAGCTTGATTGCTGCAAGCAAAATTCCTTTTCAAAATGTACATGGGAGGGCACCCATGTACAGTAGGAATAACAATAGCAGGGTAGGACCTCTGAAAAATCCTCTCTCCATGAAAGCAATGGGAACACTGGCAAAAAAGTATCTGGAAATTAACCAAAGGCTTGTGACAATCTAGAAATATTTATTAAAGAAAAATGGTTGCACGTTGGTAAGAAGAGCAAGTTTTATGATGTTTTAAATCATGCAGTTTTCATAGCTCCACGGTAGCCTTGGAAATGAAAAGCCCCACAATCATGGTGAAACCCAGGAGCCTAGCAACCATGGAAGGTACAGAGTGGGGTTGGAGCTCCTCCAAAGCCTCACCCCCCAGTGAATTGTCACTATTTTACCTGTCTGGCAGTTCCTCTAAGTCCTGATCTCGGGGCTTATCTTTGGCATTTCTCAGAGGTGTGCCCAGTGTAAACAACCTTTCCCTAGGTGAATTTGTTAAAAACAATTAGCAGCGATTGTTTATCTAGCACCTCAATTTCCTGAGTAGTCTTTAAGAGTTGGAACAAACAGCAAGCTGCCCAAAAAAATTAGAAGGAGAAGGTGGGGAATGAGATGTCCATTGGAAGTTTTTAAAAGTTTTTGAAGACTATAGAAGGGCACACACATGTACAGGGCTCTGAGCAAGGCTGGGGAGACCTAAATCCCTCAGCTTCTATGACCAGGAGGATCTACACAAACAGGAAGGATTAATACAGAGCTGTAAACTGCTTCCCTGGGCATGAAGGCATGCCCAACACACACACACAACCCCTTGGCAAAGGCTAGAAGATTAACTAGTCCAAATGTTTAAGGATATCTGTCCAACCATTAGTTAACCACTAAGCTAACAACAGATGGGGCGCCTGGGTGGCTTAGTTGGTTAAGTGTCCGACTTTTGCTTAGGTCATGATCTCGCGGTTCGTGGGTTCGAGCCCCGAGTCGGGCTCTGTGCTGACTGCCAGCTCAGAGCCTGGAGCCTATTTCAGAATCTGTATCTCCCTCTCTCTCTGACCCTCCCCTGCTCACGCTGTCTCTCTCTCTCTCTCTCTCTCTCCTAGAAATAAATAAAAATATTTAAAAAAAAAAAAACTAACAACAGAGACTTCAGTGGCCACGTCAAAGAATATAACCTTTACAGAGTTATTTCAGGAACTCTAAAAAATAAACAGCAACTATCAGCCCTGCAGAGGATAGAGTATCTGGTTTCCAAGGTTGCACCGTCATAGTATTAAATTTTTCCAATATTCAACCCAAATTATGGGGCGTGCAAAGAAAAAAGAAAGTATGGCCCATGGAGGGAAAAGGCAATCAGTAGAAACCACCCCTGAGAGAGCCCAGGCATGGGTCTTATCCACAAAGACTACTTAAAATGTTTAAAGAACTGAAAAAATTATGAGAATGATGTGTCAGCAGAGAGAGAATTAAAGAGATACAAACTCTTTTTTAAATAGAACAAACTAGGAATTTTGGCATTAAAAGGCACAATAATGGTAATGAAAAATTTAGTGGAGGTGTTCAAAAGTAGGTTTGAGCTGGCAAAAGGAGGAATCAGTGAATCTGAAATCAACTGAGATTATCCAATCTGAGGATCAGAAAAGGAATGAAGAAAACTAGACAGTGCTCCAGAAATGCATATGTTTATCAACATATATATAACAGGAGTCCTGGAAAAGAGAGAGAAAGAGAAATCATATTAGAAGAAATTGCAGGCCAAAACTTTCCACTTTGATGAAAAATGTTAAAATGTACCCAAAAGGGGGCGCCTGGGTGGCTCAGTCCACTGAGTGTTGAGTCTTTTTTTAGAATTTTTTTAATAAAAATATTTTTTTAATGTTTATTTTTGAGAGAGGGAGAGCATGCACAGGCAGGGGAGGGGCAGAGAGAGAGGGAGACACAGAATCTGAAACATGATTCAGGTTCTGAGCTGTCAGCACAAAGCCCAACATGGGGCTCGAACTTATGAACCAAGAGATCATAACCTGAGCCAAAGTCAAATGTTTAACCAACTGAGCCGCCCAGGTGCCCCTGGAGTGTGCAACTCTTGATTTTGGCTTGGGTCATGATCTCAGGGTCATGGGATCAAGTCCCACATTGGACTCCATGCTGACTGAGGAGCCTGCTTAAGATTCTGTTTCTCTCCCTCTGCTCCTCTCCCCTGCTCATATATGTGTGCTCGCTCTCTCTCTCTCAAATAAAAAATAAATAAAATTAAAAAATTTTTTAAATGCATCCAAGAAATCCAACAAACTCTAAGTGGGACAAATTCAAAGAAATCCACACCAAGACACATCAGCCACTAAGAAAATAACTTTAAATATATAGTAAAAGAGACAAGGGACCTAAAATATTACCCTAGAAAATATTTGTTAAAAACAAGGCAATAATGAAGAAATAGGGAAGATAGATATAAAGCATATAGAAAACACATAGCAAAATTACATAAATCCTACCTTCTCAGTAATTTGATTAAATATAAATGGATTAAATGCTATGGCCAAAAAAGCAGAGACTGGCAAAATAAATAACAAAACAAATCAACTGTAATCCAACTTTATACATCTACAAGAGACATGGTTTAGATCCAAAGACACAAATAGGTGAAAGCAAAAATATGGAAAATATGTATCATTCACAGAGTTGCTCAAAGAGAGCTTGAATGGCCATGTTAATATTAGACAAAATAGGCTTTAAGAAAAAAATTGTTATTACAGGCAAAGAAGAACATTTACAATGGTTAAGAGATCAATCCATCAAGCAGGTAAAACAGTTATAAACATATGCACCTAACAACAGAACCCCAAGATACATGAAGCAAAAACTGGCAGAATTGGAGAAATAGTTCAACAATAGTCGGAATTTTCAGCCCCCCCATTTTCAGTAACTGAATGACAAGTCAGAAGATCAGCAAATAGAAAACACTGTAAACCAACTAGATTTAAGAAATATCTATAGATAATTCTACCCAACAAAGTAAAATACACATTCTTCTCAAATGCATATGGGACATTCTCTGGAATAATGTTAGATATGGTAGATCATAAAGCCTCCATAAATTAAAAAATTATTGAAATTAGGGGTCCTGTCTGGCTCAGTTGGTGGAATGTGCTACTCTTGATCTTGGGGTCATGGTTTGGAGCCCCACTTTGGATGTAGATATTACTTTTAAAAAAAATTATTGAAATCATGTTCTCTGACTACAATGGAATAAAATTAGAAATCATTAACATGGGGTGTCTGGGTAGCTTAGTCGGTTGAGCATCTGTTTTTTTTTTTGGCTCAGGTCATGATCTCAAGGTTAGTGAGTTCGAGCCCCACTTTGGGCTCTGTGTTGACAGCTCAGAGCCTGGGGCCTTCTTCAGATTTTGTGTCTCCTCTCTCTACCCCTCCCCTACTCACACTCTGTCTCTCTCTCAAAACTAAATAAACATCTTAGGGGCGCCTGGGTGGCTCAGTTGGTTAAGAGTCCGACTTCAGCTCAGGTCATGATCTCACAGTTCATGGGTTCGAGCCCTGCGTTGGCCTCTGTGCTGACAGCTCAGAGCCTGGAGCCTGTTTCAGATTCTGTGTCTCCCTCTCTCTCTGCCCCTCCACTGCTCATGCTATCTGTCTGTCTGTCTCTCTCTCTCAGAAATAAATAAAACATTAAAAAAAATAAAAATAAACATTTTAAAAATTATTATTATTTTTTTTTTACAAATAGTTTATTGTCAAATTAGTTTCTACATAACACTCAGTGCTCATCCCCAAAGTGCCCTCCTCCATG